TTTTCTCTGCAGTGTACACCATCCCTGGCAGTTTTGAGGGAACCAACACAGAACTGAGGCTCTGTGGACTTGTCTGTAGCAAGCAGCTACTGGCCTTTGACCTGTCAACATGCAGAAATGTTAAACATGTGAATTAAATGAAAAAGTCATTATGGTTATTTAGTAAGAAGAAACAGCTTCATAATGAAATTAACTTTCTACTCAGTAGCTCCGCCATTGAGTGCATTAGAAAGGATTCTGAACATGAGAACACTTTATTTATAAGCAGACAAGATCATCCTAATAATAACAATACTGCTCAAGTTAACAGAATGTTTTGATCATAAACACTGTCTACATGAATCAGTTCAGCTGGTCTAAATCTGCTGTGATGTTATATGATTTTAGGCACTTGTAAGACTCTGAGAGTATCCCACCGAAAGCATCATAACGATATCAGTCCTATTTGGGGATTTAAAGAAATAATTTTATAGTGAATATTCATAGTCAGCTGATGACTATAATTGACATTGTGATACAGCTTCCATTTTGGAGATTACATTTAATTTGATCATAGTCCTTATGTGTGATGACAGCCATACAAATCTTGCATGTTTTTCCAGGACACACTATATAGGGTATACTGTAATCTATTAATGCAATTGCTGATGGTGTTCTCAAGTTATTAATGCTCTGAATGACATCCCAAGCTGAAATGACATAGTTTTATAATTAATATAGATCTCTGCGTGTTCATTTGGGGCTGAAGCAGTGGCAGGACATTTGGGAAAGAAAACCAGCATCATAGCAAGTTAAACTATTCTAGTTCATACCACAAGTCAACAAAAGAGACAGGCAGAATCAAGTGCTCTGGTTCCACTCTGCAGTTGACTTTCCACTTTGTCACATTGCCTTTACTGGTTGGCAGTCAACAGGAACACATAAATAGTCACAATGAAAAAGTAATTAGAGACACTACTACCTGAGAAATCTTTCCAAATCTTCCTTGCTACACCTGGACCATGAAACATCACCAAGATTTTGTCCTTTGATCCATTCACCAGACATGATATGAAGTCCATCAGCGCATGATGGGTGGTCATTGTCATGATTAATGCCCATGCTGATTTAGAATATAATTGAAAGAAAAAGATCCATATTAAGCAAATGTTATTTTTTCTTTTATTACTACAGTGGTATGTAATTCAAAACACCAAGTGAGAAATTTTATTTGGAAGAAATTAGTTTAAAAATAAGATTGGATTTCAAATTACATTTGTTTTTAAAATTTATCAACAAGGCTTAAAGTAAATAATGTAATAAATTGATTAAGACTATTTTTAAAACATGTATTCAAAACAAATATTCAAAGTGCATGCTTAGCTACATATAAGATATTGAATGAACTGTACACATATTTTTGCATTGTTTATATGAATAAAAATAGAAAATTTTCATTCAACCTCATTGGATTATTGCCTTTGCCTGAAGTAGTTTGTTCTTTAAAATATGAAGTACATCTTAGCCATACGAAATTAAAATGAACTACTAACTTCTTGGAACATTTCCTTCATCTGATTCACAGCTCCATATTCTTCCACACAGACCTCAAATAACAAAAATATCTTTTGGAAAACTTCTTGGCCATCATTACCTTTTCTATTGAATCATAAATCTGTTTATTTAAGTAGAGATTCTACTCTGAAAAGTTGGCTCATTCCCAAATAAGTACTTTAGAACAATCTTCAATAGAACTTGAAGTTTTTTCTCTTTAAAGCTTTTATTTAGACCTGTCTGTCCCCCTTTTCCTCTGGTGTTTAGTTATGCTTTAGCTATCTACTGTATTCCAAATTATCATCACACCAACACTTTGTCCTACTCCCAAAACATCACTGTGTTTGGGTAAGGTCTTGTTCAATATGGTTTCTCAACATTTCTCTCAACTGTTATCTCCTTTCTATTCCCATTGTAACCTACTGGAGATGATAAAATATTTTTACTAGACAATGGAGACAATTACTATGATATTCTTCCTGGCTCTTAGCCCAATATGTCTTACTGACATTCTCCCTCAGTTTACATCTACTTTGCCCCTGTGAAATGGACCTATAATCAAAGCTAACTTTAACATGAATTGGCCTTCTTAACCCCCATTATAGAAGTTTCCAGATGACCCAGTGAAGACCTAGGCCCTTCATCTTTTACAGTTTTATTTATTAAAAATAACTTGGAATTTCTCAACTATGTTTCTTACTTTCTTGTAATTCACTATTATTTAGCATTTCCTATGCTCAATATACATACCATAAGAGGCCCTTTCATCTTTTCTGTCTTAATATAAAATATTTTTAATGTAAGCATAACATTAAACACTTTTTATTAGAACTCTGTCTCAAAATAAATAAGCCAACACCAAAACAAATGAACCAAAAATAAAAAATAAAAATAAAAGAACCAAGGGCTAGAGAGATGACTCAGCTATTAAAGGCTAGACTAACAACCAAAATATTGAAAAAAGAAGAGGAAGAAGAGGGAGGAAGAAAGGAAGGAAGAAAAGAATGAAGGGTAGGGGCGAAAGAAAGGAAGGATGAAAGAGACACCAATAACTAATGTACCTCATAAGACTCTACAATGTAGAATGAGAACAGAGAGCTTCAATAGTAACTATGTGCCCAGCAGGACTCCCTCCTAAGAACACAAGGACAGTGACCTTCCACAGTAAGTATGTGTTCCACAGTTCATATCCCCATGAACATAGTGATATAGACCTTACGTCTAAGACCATGGGGATGGACAACAGCATCCAAAGTAATTATTGATCCTCAGGCCTCTCCCTAACTATATGTAGACAGTAGCTATATGCCACAGGCCTTTCCCTTAAAACATGGGAACAGAGAGCTTCCATAATAACTACTTGCCCCATAGGTCTCACTCCTAAAACATGAGAAGGAAAACCAATTTTCTACATTGAGAAATTACTGAATAAACAAACCATAGTGAACGTGAAAAACACCTGTCAAAATGAACACAAGAGGTTTTTTTTTTTTAACCACATTGTAAATGAACCCATGTTTTAGGAATAATTACATATTTAGCTAGTGAAGATTAGCTTAGAGTAGGGAATAATAAAGGAGTTGGCAGGTGGTTTATAAGGTTGTAATCAGCCATCACACACTGGGCATTGTACAGTCAATACCTTACCCTTCACCTCTAAGGTGTCTTTCAGCTTTTGCCCAAATATATTCTACTTAATACATAACATTATTCAAGTCATCTGCAGATCATTGCTAAAAGACTTTTACTAGCCTGTACTTCATCTATTTGTCTTAAATTACCAAAGGCTTTTGTGGAGACTAACGTTCAATATTCTCTAAGTTGTACTGCATTTATTTTCAAAATTCTTGAGCACAGGGACCTTTTAGGCTTCCCAAATGTCTGGCATCTAGAACCCACACTCTACATAGCTCAACCAGAATCACTTCTCTTTAAGAACAAAATTCTTATAATGTCTAATAAATTCTCAAACTCAGGATTTTGATGTAATCACTCATGAATAGAAACTAATATTGAAGGAAAGATAAAAGTTTGCTTAATACATGCAAAGTTTCCAAAAAAGGCATGATAGTGTAATATTCTATTTCATCTGATTTTGTTCTAAATACAAAATAAAAATTTTAAACAAAAGTTTCCAAGAACATTTACACATTATAGTTTAGAATACTGTTAGAATTTTCATCAAAGTTGTTCTGGGTGATAATAATTAGACTTGTTCTAAAACCAAAATAAAGCATATTAAATATATAAATTAAATATTTGAATAAAATTTATTTTTGAAAGAATAATCTGACATGGAAGTAATCATTCTCATCTGTATTCTGCAAGAATACAAAGGATATTTATTAATTATGTATAATTCCTTTAGGTATGGTAATTTTGATTAAAAAATAAAAAATTTACTATCAAATTCACTTTCAGAACCAGAAATCACTCACTAGCTAATGTTTCCATTTTTCATGAATGTCTTTGAAGTGGGTCTGTATCAACACATATTAATGGCATAATAGACATAAAATACAGGAAGAGAAAATACTTTCAAAGTTTGATGACCTCAAGAAAAAGTAAGACTTTATATAGAATGTATATGAAACAGCTCCACTGAGAAAGACTGAAGAAAAGCAAATTGAACACTAGTATCAAAGAAACTGTGAACACTAGAGCACTCTCCTACCTAACCCTTGTTGTGAAAACTAAGTGGGGTTGTTGAAAATTGTTTACAAAGTGACCTTATAGTTGCTGCTTTATACTGAGGAAGTAAGTAAGAGAATTTTATTGCATTAATCTCTTTTTACAAAAGAATCACAGAGATCCAGGCGATGTGCTGTGTTTGCTTTTATTTGTTGAAAGTGTGGGCTTAAGGCTTGTTAAGAAAATTACCATTGCATGAGTTAATTTGCTTAGTTATTAAATTTAAACAAGTTGGATGTGTAGAGAGGTGGGGAGGATCTGAGAGGATGTGCAAGGGAAAACGTCATCAAAATATATTTATAAAGATATTTTTAAATCAAAAATTAGACAAGCACCTGTAAGTTAGGCACAACCTCACAAAATTCTCGGGATGCCTGACTACACCTGCAAGCCCTCGCTTCTGATGCAGTCTCTGGAAGTGTCACTGCCTCATCTCCCTGGTAGATTTGACCACAGCATGCTCATGGGGCACCTCTTTAGTTAACAGCCTCTGACTGACTGTGTGGAATATGATCAATTCTCCCATTGTGCTGAAGCAGTTTTTAGACTCATGCACAAATGTTGGAATTTTACAAACGAAACAATAAAACTTCTTAAGTAATGTATCCATTTGGGAGATTTAACTTCCAAGACTTAATGATTTGTCTGTTTCCAACGGAGTGATGTGATTTTCCAGTTGAAGAAGAGGGCAGCTTCTTATTCTGATGACCATTTTCCCTCTGGGAATCTGATTATCACTTAGACCTTAGCTTGAGCCATGGAAAGAGCTGATGATGGAATTATTGTTTATTGATCATTAACATTTCCTTATGATTCACATCAGGATGGATTACTAAAATATTTGGATATGGATATTTTGAAGCACATCTGGAATCATCAAGAAACATTGCTAAGTCTATGAAATAAAACAATTGTTAATCTTTATCTGTGCAGGTCAATACATTAGTCATTTTCAATGATATCATTTAACCTTAATAGTAGCCACATACTGTTCCCATTAGAATGGCTTCTATTTTACAGATGAGGACAGCTTGAGGTCACGGTGGGAGTGACTTAGATGCATATCCTCTTAGTTCAATGCTCAGACAGACCTCTGAACCACCCCACTCTAGGGCTTCTCTTTCTGGACCAAACTCCATTTTAGCAGATGATTTGTGTTCTGGGTTTTTGTTTGTTTGTTTTATGCCTCCCCTGTTTTTAGCAGAAACACATCTCTCTATAAACTCAGTTCTGTAACCATGTAGTGTACACTGCATGGAAAACTATTTCAAACTAAGACATTTGTAACACCTCTCTGCATGCTGTGCAACTGAACTACATTTTAATAATCTCAGTTTAAATTCATTTTGACAAAAGGCCTTGGGCAAATAAACTCTCCACTAACATTCTACATGGTTGTCAAGTCAACTGAAAAAATATTTTTATCTTATAAAACTTCTCAACTTGTTTAAAAGTCCTTGCCAGGAAGTTTTTGTGATATCCTGAGGACAGCTGATGGAAAGCTGGAGAATGGCTTGGATCTTGAAGATGGTCCCTTCCGATGTTGGAAGAGTTGGAGAACACATGTATTAACTCCCATTTTGAGAGTCATTTGGAAAGGATTCGATTTGTAAACAGTAATATTTTAAAAGAGAAGAGTTTTTCTCTAACTCAGGAGGTAGAGGGAGGAGGAATAGACAAACAGCACTAAAGATGTTTTTAAAAGCAATAGCGATGATGGAAGCAGATGCAGAACTCCACAGTTAAGCACTGGGCCGAACTCCTGGAGTCCAGTCATAGGGAGGGAAAAATAATAATGTGAGCAAAGGGGTCAAGACCATGCTAGAGAAACCCACAGAAACAGCTGACCTGAACAAGTGGAAGCTCACTGACTACAGACTGATAGCTAGGGAACCTGCATAAGACCAAACTAGGTCCTCTGAATGTGAGTGACAGTAGGGGGCTTGGGCAGTTTATGGGTTGCTGGCAATGGAACCAGTATTTATCCCTAGTACATAAACTGGCTCTTTGGAGACCATTTCCTGTGGAGGGATCAAGACCTTGTTCAGTCTGGATACAGTGGGATAGGGTCTTGCCCCAAATGGTGTGACATACTTTGATGATTCCCCATGGGAGGCTTTACCCCTTCTGAGGAATGGATGAGGGTGGGGTGAGGAGATGGTGGGGAGAATGGGAGGAGGGGAGGGAGAGGGAACTAGGATTGGTATGCAAATTAAGATTGTTTTAAAAATAAAAAGCAATAGGGAAATATATTATTTTTAATCTTCCTTAAATTCTATACATACATATCTATATATCTACACACACACACATATCTATATATCTACACACACACACACACAGACACACAGACACACACACACACACAGACACA